CAGTAAAACAGCATTTATACATCCATCATTTTCAGGATTGTTGGTAACTTGGGCATATTTCCCCCAAATAACCTTGCCTCCTTGTGTCACAAGGCCCAGCTCACTCACGTTCACCTCAATGACAGTACCTTTGGTGATAACACCCAAAGTTGTATATAGTGGGGCTGAGGGATTCTTCTTTACACTGAGTACTGGCAGGCAAAAGGTGACTTTCAGTTCAGGATTTGTTACGTGGGCCTTCTTGAAACGTAAGCCCATTGGCCTAATGAATCTTTCATATTTAGGTGGTTTTCTAGTAAAGCCATCTCCAACAAAGCAAACTTTTGTAACCATCCTCTTTCACGCCTTCTTTCTCTTTCCTGTTTGAATAACTTTTAACACTTCTGTTTCTCCCTGGGCTCGAACTTTGGGTAGAGGGACTTCCCATTTTCCCGCTTTCTCTTTCCGTTTTTGTTTAATCATATTGGAAAGTACTTTAGCTAGGGACTGTCCTTCTCTGTCCAACAGATAGGCAGGTACTGCTCCTTGTGGAGTCTTGTCATCATTCTTCTGTTTGGTGTTCCTCATCTCATGCATCTTGACAGTCTTTTTCATTTGTATTTTCTCAGCATGGCGCTGTTTATGATAGAGCTTAGCCTTCAGACCAATCATCTTTTTTGCCTTCTTTGAACGTTCATAAGCCTCCCGACTTTCCTTCTTTCTCTTTTTCTCATGGTAATCCAAACGGTATCCATAGCGTTTACGATGTAATTCAGTTTTGTGGCATGGTGACGATTGCAGCATCGCTGGGAGCAGCCACCCGGATGCAAAGAAATTGTCAACTTTCAGATCGCAAAGCAAGCATCTTTTCATATACTTACTGACCATTTGTATGAGGGAGATTTTCAGAAAGTTATGAAAACTACGTAATATGAAAAAAAAAGAAAAACCTTGGGACCAGCAGATGACATAATGGTTATGTCGCTGGACTCCCATATAGTTGACCGTGGTTTGAATGCCAGACCCGTCAACTTAAAACTCACACCAGGCATGTGTGCGTGCATGCCAAAGATTCCCAGAGGAGAATGGAGAAGGGATTGCGGTGTTGCCATTCCCTGGGGGGATGAGTTTTCGCTTTCTGTCTCTCTGTCTCTCTGTCTTTCCAGTGAGCACATATGCCCTACAGCAAAAAGTCTCTATTAAAAAAAAAAAGAAGAGGGACCAGCAGTTGGCGTAATGGCTATGTCATTGGACTCCCATGTAGTCGATGACATTTCGAATCCTGAACCTGGTAGCTTAAAGTCATGCCTGGTGCGTGTGCATGTGTGCCCAAGATCCTGAGAGGAGAATGGAGGAGAAGGGATTGCAGCATGGCCATCCCCCCCTGGAGGGGTGATTTCTCACTTTCTATCTCTCTGTCTCTGTCTTTCTGGCAAGTGAACATGCCCTATAGCAAAAATATCTTCCTCCCCCCTCCCCCAAAAAAAAGAAAAGAAAGAAAGAAAAAGAACTGTACAAGTATTTAAAATTGTTTTGCACCAAAATGAACTTTTAATTTCATTTTTCCATGAACTTTTTTCTCCTTTTTTAACTTTTTTTGCTATAGGGTGCGTGCACTCACCAGAGACAGGGAGAGAGCGAGAAGTGAAAAATCGCCTCCCTGTGGGGATGGCCATGCTGCAGTCCTTTCTCCTCCATTCTCCTCTTACGATTTTGGGCCACACACACACACATACACACACGCAGCATGATTTTCAAGCTGCTGGGGTCTGGGACTTGAACCACAGACTTTGCCATGTAGAATCCAGCTGCCTTTACTTCCACACCACTTGCTGGCCCATTTTGCCCATTTTTTAAAAGTGTATTTATTTAATTCTTCTATGAATGAGAGAGAGAGAGAGATTGTATAACCAGTTAGGTCCTGACACTATGATCTCCCACCAGCCTTCAGCCATCCTTGAGTTGTGGGCACACATGTGCGTGGTGTACTCAAGGATGTCTCTGGACTTAAATTGGGAACCTTCTCATGTGAGACTGCTTCACATAGTGTTCTGTTTTACCACTGTACCACAATCTAGCCCCTTTATGCTTATGCTTTATTGGGTTATTTGGATTTTTTTAAATTATTTTATTTAAATTTATTTATTTACTTATTTTAATTTTACTAGAGAGAGAGAGAGAAAGTGAGAAAGCTACCAGGTCCAGGACTTGAACTGTGGTCGACCATGTGGGAGTCCAGTGCCCTTAACCACCACGCCACCTGCTAGCCTCTGGGTTTGTTTTTTTTTTTTTTAGTTGTAAGAGGTTGTTTTGTTTTGTTTTGTTTTGTTTTGTTTTAATATATCTAGAGACAAATCCCTTATGAGATAAATGGTTTATAAATTTTTCTTACATCCCATTGATTGGTTGTTCTCTAAGTATTTTTTAATCATTTACTTGTTTTCACATTTTCCACATTTACTTTTCATATAAAAAAATTCTTGCTCATATGCTATAGTTTTTGACAGCTAATAAACAACTCTCAAAATTTTTTAAAAATTGAATTTTAAAGACCATGCAGTCGACCATAGTTGTTACAGAGTCACAAACAAAATTCTATCAAATATTTTGAACATTATCTTTAAAATTCTACCACAGTTCAAGTCCTGGACCTGGTGGCTTGAAACACACCAGGCACGTGTGCAGGTATGCCCAAGATCTGAAGAGGAGAATGGAGGAGGAAGGTTGCGGCATGGCCCTCTCCCCTGGAGGGGCAATTTCTCACTTTCTGTCTGTCTCTCTGGTGAGCTTAAGTGCCCTATGGCAAAAACTTATACCAAAAAAAAAAAATTGGTCTTAGGGGTCAGCTGATGGCATTGTGGTTAAGGCACTGGACTCTCAAATAGTTGACCGTGGTTCGACCTAGTGGCTTGAAAATCGTGCCAGACATGTGTGTGTGTGTGCCCAAAATCCCTAGAGGAGAATGGAGGAGAAGGGATTGTGGTGTGACCATCCCCCTGAGAGATGATTTCTAATTCCCTTTTAGTGTCTGTCTCTGAATATACACACCCTATGGGATAAATCTTTTAAAAATTGATTTTAATGTTTTCTGCCTCTTCCCAAATTAACCCTCTTTACTTGTTTGACAAAACTATGTAAAGGAGTTTGTCACATATTTTAACTTTACCTTGCTCTGTGTATGGTGTTGACTGACATGTATAAGAGTGGATGTGTATATTTATTATGATGTCTAATAATCATGAAGTTTATCACTTTCTAGGAGCATAGATAAAATAAAATTAGTAGTGCATCAGAGTTATTTTTCTGTTTATCATATCATTACTAAAATGAGTGCTATAATGTCACAGGACTTTTGGGTTTGTACAAATGTAACCATAAATTATATTGATATCAGATATGAATTGAGTATTTGTAAAATATCAGGTATATCTCAAAATATAGGACTGCAGGGGCTGGCAGGTGGCATGATGGTTAAGGGTGCTGGACTCCCACTCTAATTCAAATTAGGAATTATAGTTTTTGGGTTTTTTTTTTTTTTTTAGAGATTTTTGCTACAGGGCGCGTGCTCTTGCCAGCCAGCCAGAGAGAGACAGCGAGACAGAAAGTGAGAAATCACCCACCAGGGGGGATGGCCACACCGCAATCCCTTCTCCATTCTCCTCTCGGGATCTTGGGCATGCACGCACATGTACCTGGCGTGAGTTTAAGCCTCCGGTTCCGGGACTCAAACCATGGTCGACTACATGGGAGTCCAGTGACATAGCCATTATGCTAACTGCTGGTCCCAGGAATTATAGGGGTTTTTTTAACCCAACCTCATCAATATTACATTTATATCTTTATTTCTTGCCAAATTTATTTTTTCTCAATGACATCAATATGCTAAGTTGCTTTATCCAACATTACACATGCATCAGTTTCAGATTAGCACTTTGATCATTACCACCAATATAACTACTTAGTGAACATTTCTTTGTTTTTGTTCTTGTTTTAGCTTTGCATTTCTTTTTCTCCTTAGGGTATATCTCACAAGGGATACATAGAAAAATTATTGTGTTTTAAAGTGACACAAAGTTCTTCTCTAATGAATGAATATGTTACCAACTGGTTTCATTTTACTTTGAATCTCTAGGGATTGCTTTTTTAAATTTAATATTTACTTTATAACAATATTAAGTATTTATATGGTTCAAAGTAAAATCTGTAAAACAAAGAAACATTCAAAAGTTCAATCTACAAAACAAGACATAGTCCAAGGGGTCTAGTTTCTATTCTAGTCCTCTCTATTTTATTTTCCCCTACCTAATAGATAACTATTTTTTTTAATTTATGACTGATTCTTTAATTATTTATACAAGAATTTCTTTTTTGGGGAGAGGTTTTTTTTGCTATAGGGCACGTGTGCTCACCAAACAGACGAGACAGAAAGCGAGAAATCACCCCCCAAGGGGGATGGTCACGCCGCAATCCCTTCTCCTCCATTCTCCTCTTGGGATCTTGGCACGCACGCACACGCGCCCGGCGTGAGTTTTAAGCCACCAGGTCCAGGTCACGAACCGTGGTCGACTATGTGGGAGTCCAGCGACCTGGCCATTACGCTAACTGCTGGTTCCCAAGAATTTCTTTTTTATAAAGAATTATTTTATTTAACTTTATTTATTATTATATCATTATTATTTTTCAGTTTGATCAGAGAGAGACAGAGAGAGAGGAAGTGAGAAAGCAAGCCACCAGGTCTGAGACTTGAACTGTGATCGGCCATGTGGGAATCCAGCGCCTTTAACCACTACGCCACTTGCTGGCCCCAGGAATTTCTATATATTTTATATCCTGACCAAATAACTTCCATGAAGTCCTGTACTATCTTTTATTCCTTGATTACTTATAATGTTCTCTATCCACAACCTGAATGATAAAATATATCTTTTATTAAGCATTGTATAGATAGGAATTAAAAGAAAGCTGAGGGGCCAGCAGATGGCATAGTGGTACATCAGTGGACTCCCACATGGCCAACCACAGTTTGAGTCAAGGACCTGGTGGCTTGAAACGTTCACTAGGTACATATGTGTGTGTGTGCTCAGTATCCTGGGAGGAAGAATGGAAGAGAAGGGATTGTGACATGGCCATCACTTTCTCTCTCACCGTCTCTGTCTTGCACTTCCCACCAGGATTGCATGCACTCTAAGGCAAAAACCTCTACAAAAAAAAAAAAAAGAAGAAAGTTGGTATTTTAAATAAGCTAGGGGTTTGAGGGAGAAAATATTATGTGGGTAGAAACTTAACTAGTTGTTATCAAACATTTTAAAGACTTTCTAGGGAAGAAGGAAATCATGTTGTTTGGCTACAGATAATATAGTAGTATGGAGGGGCCAGCAGGTGGCATGGTGGCTAAGGTGCTGGATATTCCCACATGGCCAACCATGGTTTGAGTCCTGGACCTGGTGGCTTTCTCTCTCTCTCTCTCTCTCTCTCTCATCAAATTAAAATAAATGAATGAATAAATAAAATAAATAAACCATAAATAAAATATTTTTTAAAATACAGTAGGGTGGATGGGTATATATACATATATAGAGAGGGAGAGAGAGAACACCAGTTAATCTGAAAAAAATATTCTATTATGTATCATTCTGAAGCTGAAGTAAGTCTTCTCTGTGGTTTAAAATTATTATCACTGGAGCAATTCATATATCCTATAAAGGTTGAACTGAGTGACCTATATAATCATTTGGTGATTCTGATTTTTGGAGTTGTTTTCCAGCTTTGTATGTAATTCAGCTTAACAGTTCTAATTGCATAGTCTCTGGGTAATCATTGTGTTTTATTTTAGGAATCAGTGACATTTAAAGATGTGGCTATTGACTTCACTTTGGAGGAGTGGAGATTGATGAACTCTATGCAGAGGAACCTGCACAAGGATGTGATGCTAGAGAATTACAGGAATCTGGTCTCTCTGGGTAAGGAGAAATCCTCTTCTTTTTTTGAGAGGTTTTTCACGATAGGGCGCATACACTCGCCAGACAGACAGAGAGACAGAAAGTGAGAAATCACCCCCCCCAGGGGGAATGGTCACGCCGCAATTCCTTCTCCTCCGTTCTCCTCTCGGGATCTTGGGCACGCATGCACACGCGCCCGGCATGAGTTTTAAGCCACCGGGTCTTTAGCAGCTTGAAAGACACGTGGGCGTGTGTGCATGTGTGTCCCAAATCCCAAGAAGAGAATGAAGGAGAAGGAACTGTGGTGTGGCCATCTGTCCTGGTGGGTGCTTTTTCACTTTCTCACTTTCCCTCCTCTCTGACTCTGGAGAACACACATGCTCTCTACTACCACTACGCCACTTGCTGGCCCCAGGAATTTCTATATATTTTATATCCTGACCAAATAACTTCCATGAAGTCCTGTACTATCTTTTATTCCTTGATTACTTATAATGTTCTCTATCCACAACCTGAATGATAAAATATATCTTTTATTAAGCATTGTATAGATAGGAATTAAAAGAAAGCTGAGGGGCCAGCAGATGGCATAGTGGTACATCAGTGGACTCCCACATGGCCAACCACAGTTTGAGTCAAGGACCTGGTGGCTTGAAACGTTCACTAGGTACATATGTGTGTGTGTGCTCAGTATCCTGGGAGGAAGAATGGAAGAGAAGGGATTGTGACATGGCCATCACTTTCTCTCTCACCGTCTCTGTCTTGCACTTCCCACCAGGATTGCATGCACTCTAAGGCAAAAACCTCTACAAAAAAAAAAAAAAGAAGAAAGTTGGTATTTTAAATAAGCTAGGGGTTTGAGGGAGAAAATATTATGTGGGTAGAAACTTAACTAGTTGTTATCAAACATTTTAAAGACTTTCTAGGGAAGAAGGAAATCATGTTGTTTGGCTACAGATAATATAGTAGTATGGAGGGGCCAGCAGGTGGCATGGTGGCTAAGGTGCTGGATATTCCCACATGGCCAACCATGGTTTGAGTCCTGGACCTGGTGGCTTTCTCTCTCTCTCTCTCTCTCTCTCTCATCAAATTAAAATAAATGAATGAATAAATAAAATAAATAAACCATAAATAAAATATTTTTTAAAATACAGTAGGGTGGATGGGTATATATACATATATAGAGAGGGAGAGAGAGAACACCAGTTAATCTGAAAAAAATATTCTATTATGTATCATTCTGAAGCTGAAGTAAGTCTTCTCTGTGGTTTAAAATTATTATCACTGGAGCAATTCATATATCCTATAAAGGTTGAACTGAGTGACCTATATAATCATTTGGTGATTCTGATTTTTGGAGTTGTTTTCCAGCTTTGTATGTAATTCAGCTTAACAGTTCTAATTGCATAGTCTCTGGGTAATCATTGTGTTTTATTTTAGGAATCAGTGACATTTAAAGATGTGGCTATTGACTTCACTTTGGAGGAGTGGAGATTGATGAACTCTATGCAGAGGAACCTGCACAAGGATGTGATGCTAGAGAATTACAGGAATCTGGTCTCTCTGGGTAAGGAGAAATCCTCTTCTTTTTTTGAGAGGTTTTTCACGATAGGGCGCATACACTCGCCAGACAGACAGAGAGACAGAAAGTGAGAAATCACCCCCCCCAGGGGGAATGGTCACGCCGCAATTCCTTCTCCTCCGTTCTCCTCTCGGGATCTTGGGCACGCATGCACACGCGCCCGGCATGAGTTTTAAGCCACCGGGTCTTTAGCAGCTTGAAAGACACGTGGGCGTGTGTGCATGTGTGTCCCAAATCCCAAGAAGAGAATGAAGGAGAAGGAACTGTGGTGTGGCCATCTGTCCTGGTGGGTGCTTTTTCACTTTCTCACTTTCCCTCCTCTCTGACTCTGGAGAACACACATGCTCTCTACTAAAAAACAAACAACTTTGGTCCTAACTCTGTGGTACTGTTAGAAATGTCCAAGATTCCAATGAAATATGTATTTCTTACACTGAGATTCCAGCTGCACAGTCGACAGCCAACTATGTGGAATCCAGCTACCTGGCCGCCCCTAGGACCAAAGTTATTTCTAGTTATTTCCATAAATGGGAGTTGTTATCAGTGCCTCTAGAAAGGGAAAAAAATGTGTTCGTTTCTTTCTAAACTCAGATTATTTCCATGATCTGTTATCCCATCAGCCATGATCACAGCATTGAGCTCCTTTGAGATATATTTGTAATTCTTTAGAATGTCACTGTACAATAGACTGTTCTATGATAGGAATGTTCTATATCTATGATATACAATATGGAAGGTACTAGTCACTTGAGGATTCTGAGCACTTGAAACTTGATTAGTCTCTAAATAAAAGATTCTAATGCCCAATTTTTTTGGGGGGGGAGAGGTTTTTTTTGCTATAGGGCGCGTGCGCTTGCCAGACAGACAGAAAGAGACATAGAGACAGGAAGCGAGAAATCACCCCCCAGGTGGGATGGCCACACCGCAGTCCCTTCTCCTCCATTCTCCTCTAGAGATCTTGGGCATGCACGCACACGCACCTAGCGGGAGTTTAAGCCACCGGGTCCGGGACTCGAACCGTGGTCAGCTATAGTGGGAGTCTAGTGACATAGCCATTACGCTAACTGCTGGTCCCCTCTAATGCCCAATTTTTATGCCATACTGAACTTCAAGGTGATTGTCAAGAAAGTCATTACTCTGAAAGGAAATCTCAGTTGCTCAAGTGAACCAACCAAACTACAAATCTGTAAATTATATAGTGGTTTATCATGTAGGAACTTGAATGTTCCGTAGAAATCCTAAATTGTATAGTTTTTGATTTGTCTCTAGAAGTAACACTGATGTCAACCTATTGTCATGGATATGCTCTTCCAAAAAAGGAATATTTATTGGACTTGTATTTCCTTTTCCATACAAGTCTGCGAAGAGAAGGAATTTAGTCACCCATTGGTCTTTACCCTGCTCAAAAACTCAGATGTGGACATTGACCCTTCGCTTCCCAGTAATATAGTCCTTCTGTACAGAGAACCAGACAGTCATTCTGAGTGAATCTGTGCTCCCTTCTAGCTTTTCATACATTGAAAATCACTATCAGATAGCTGGTAAAATTTCTCTTCTCTAGATTGACCATCTCAGTTTAAGTATTTCTCTTTTAGTGTGTGCTACAGCTTCCTTCATCATCCTCATTCAGTCTTCTGGAACTTACTAAGTTTGTTGATGGTAGTGTGCTACAAAGGAAATTAAGACATGTTTAGACATGATCTGGTCACCATGGATATAATGACAATAAAACCTCCTGTGTTTCAGATATTTTATTTCTTTGAATTAACTGGAGTATATCAGCTTTTATACAGCCATCTCTCACTTTTGACTTATGTAAAGCTTAATGTCAACTCATTTTTTTCCACAGAAAAAAGATTTTTGCTAGTCCATCCTAAGAACTGATTTAATTTATTTTTAAATTTATAATAGAGCACATGTGTGCACATGTAAGAGTGAGAGTAAGAGAGAAAGAGACAGATGAGCCCCCTTCGCTGGCCTAGTATGCCACAACTCCCTTCATAGTCCTCCAGCCTGTCAGATCTTGGGCACTCAAGCATGTGCCCAGCATGTTTCAGACTGATCAGGCCAGGGATTAGAACTGCAGTTTTTTTTGTGGGATCTGGCTTTTCTTGAGCAGCACACTACTGTTTCCCCACAGAGCTGGCCCTGAAGAATGGGATTTTATATTTTATTTCATTTAAATTCAGATTTGAATAGCCACATGTGGCTAGTGGCAACTGAATTGGACAGTACAGTTCTAAAACCTCCTCTAGTAGCTACTCTGCACAGATTAAGAACTGAGGTTGAATTTGGCAATATTTCTTGCTTATAGCTTCAGTCAAATTCTATTTGTTTTTCTCTGAACAGGGCTTGCAGTTTCCAAACCAGACATGATATCTCATTTGGAGAATGGGAAAGGGCCATGGTTGGTGGTGAGAGAAATTTCAAGAACCACTTATCCAGGTAAGTTAATCAGAACCAGGAAGATGAAGTTTATTTCAAGTAACAGATCATAGGGAATGTTTAGCAGAACATCTGAAATATTTGGGGGAGTATCTTTGCTCAAAACTACCACAGAGGAATAATACTTCTTGCTCCTTGTTGCCTGTCCTTCTTACCCCCATCTTTTTTCTCCCTTTCTCTCTATACTCCACTTTGGTTTCCTGTCCATTCTGCTCTACTCTTTTTAGAATATGATTTTTATAATTATTCCTTCATTCCTTCTTCAAATGCGTAAATTATCCCTTTCAATTCAGTCCTCTCTGGTGAACTATGTTTTTCTCATTTATTTCACCATTATCTGACATTTCTTCATTCATTCTCCCAAACTTTTTTAAGTGTCACCCTTCATTTCTTTTTTAAAGCAATTTTAAAAAGAATCATTTTATTTAACTTTATTTATCCACTTATTTATTTATTTTAATTTGACCAGAGAGGGATATAGTGAGTGAGACAGAGAGAAAGTGAGAAAGCAAGCTGCCAGGTCCAGGACTGAAACCATGATCAGCTATATGGGAGTCCAGCACTCTTAACCACCATGCCACCTGCCAGCCTGAAGGGTCACCACTCATTTCTTTTAAACAAAACCTATTTAACTTTCTTCACTTACAAGGAGATGAAATTTTAGGGGATCTCTTTTCCTCTCCTCCATGTTCTTAACTAATTGAGAATACAAATAAGCAATTAGTTGAAAGCCTAAGGAAGTTACTATGATTGAAGCATAATGAGGGTACACTCTCCTGAATAAGATTAGAGATGCAGGAGTCTGCCTACACAGTGCTTTGTAGATAATGTAAGGAGTCTGGATTTTAATCTGAGTGTAGAAGCATAGAAATATTTTAATCAAGGATTTTTAGAAAATAACCTTGTCTATGGAGATTGAATTTAAGGGCATAAGGCAGACAGTAAGTTAAGGGCTTGTTACAATAGTCTAGGCAGGAAATGATGATAACTTTGATTAGGGTGATGGTGGTGAAGATAAAGAAATAAATGAATTCTAGTTCATTTGAGTATTCATTTTATTATGATGCCATTTATAAATCACATATGTTATATATACATTTTTTATATGTCAAGTATTATATATACTTAAAAGAAGGAGTGAAAGGTGGATATTGGAGATAATTTTAAATGATTTTCCCGAGGATGTATTTGCTTGCCAGACAGATAGAAAGCACCCCTAGTAGGACATGGTCATGCAACAATCTCCTTTCCTCCATTTCTCCCTCCTAATAGGAGTTTGGGGCATGTGTGCTTGGTATGTTTTTCAAGCTTCTGGGACCAGGATTCATACTGCAATCAGCCATATGGGATCTGGTCCCACATGTACAGTGCTTAACCACCGTGGTACCAGCTCAGCCCACAAATGTTGTTTTAGAGAAGGAATATTTCCACCCATGAAGAAAGAAAAATAGGGTAGCTATTAAAGGAAAGTATGGCGTGAAGAAAAATGTTCTTATTTTATATTTTGATGGGAGTTTTTGTGGCATGTTTGAGTGCTGATAGGAATTCCTCTGGGAGAAATTGATGTGGCAAGACAAAACTTGGGAGACTAAGTGTTTGGAAAGGTTAAAAGGGATACAATCTATAATAGAAAAGGACATATTTACATTTGGTAGGTAGGGAAGTTGACTTTTGTGTTGTACCACTAGGAAAGATGGAGAAAATGGGTGCAGATGTGGTGGGAAGAAGGAGACATTCTATTATGATAGCTTTTGTTCTCTAAAATATAAGGTAAGGTTATCAGCTCATCATAAGAAAAAAAAAGAGTGAGGGAGGGGAAGTTATATTTTTTTATGGTGCATAGACTTCATCAGGGAAACCATCTTGGCATGAAGCATTTATTATGGAAGGTGTTCAATTATGGCTTTTATATCTTCAGTTTTATAGGACTATTCATATTTCTTATTTCTTTTTGTTTCATTTGGCAAATTCTATTTATCTAGGAATTGGCTTATTTAATCTAAAAAAATCTTTATATGGCCTTCATTTTAAAAATAAATTATTGATTTAATTTTATTTATTACTATTACTATTTTTTAAAGAAGTATTTATTTAATTCCATTTGTTATTATTTTTTAATTTGACCATACAGAGAGGGAGCAAAGAAAGGAAAGCGAGAAAGCAAGCTGCCAGGTATAGTACTAGAACCATGGTTTGCTAGGTGGGAATCCAACGCCTTTAACCATCACACCACCTGCTTGCCCCACTAGTATTATTTTTTAAAATTTTCTGTCGGGCACACTCAAGAGAGAGAGAGAGAGAAAGTGAGAAAGCAACGCCAGGTCCAAGACTCAAATCCACAGTCAGGTTAACCATTAGCACCTTAAACACCATGCCACCTGCTGGCCTGGCATTTATTTGTTTTTAATTGCCAAAGGGCACAGGTGTTCTCCATAGAATGAAGTTGGTGGGGAAGCATCCCACCAATGGGATATAGTCATACCACAATCCCTTCTCCATTTCTCCATCCCGTTGGATTTTTTTTTTTTGAGAGGTTTTCGCTATAAGGCACGTGCACTCACCAGACAGATAGAGACATAGAGACAGAAAGCGAGAAATCACCCCCCAGGGGGGATGGTCACGCTGCAATCTCTTCTCCTCCATTCTCCTCTCGGGATCTTGGGCACGCACGCACACGTGCCTGGCATGAGTTCTAAGCCACCAGCCAGGTCCGGGATGCGAATTGCGGTTGACTACGTGGGAATCCAGCAACATAGCCATTACACTAACTGCTGGTTCCCCTCCATCCTGTTGGCTTTGAAGCATGTACACACATGTGCCTAGCATGTCCCAAAAGTCACCAAGGCCATAACTTGAAACATAATTGGTCATACTGATCTGACTCCTTTTACCACTAAGCTATGGGGCTGGCCCTGACCATTTTTGAAGGATATTTTTGGTAAGTTTAGAATTCTAGTTAGCAGTTACATTCTTTTAGCATTTTGAAGGTTTTTCTCTGTTCCATTCCGTTGTTCTATTTCTCTGTTTATTTCATTGTTTTCTGTCTTACCATAGAATCTATTGAGATGTTGGACCAGCTGGTGGCATGGTGGTTATGGGCTCTGGACTTTGATATGGCCCACCACAGTTTGAGTCTTGGACCTGGCAGCTTGCTTTCTCACTTTCTCTCACTTTCTTTTTCACCCTCTTTGTCTCTGGTCAAATTTAAATAAATTAAATAAATAAGTAAAGTTAAATAAAATAATTCTTTATAAAAAGAATCTATTGAGATATCAACCATCTGTCTAATGCTTGAGTCAGCAAACATTTTATGTAAAGGACAAGGGAGCAAAGGCTTTGTGGAATTGTAAGATCTCTGTTGCAGCTATGTCATTCTACCACTGTAGCACACAAGCATCCTCAAACAATAGATTAACCAATGAGCATTGTTCTATTCCACTGAAACTTCATTTATGGGCACAACTTGAATTTTATATCATTTTAATTTATTACAATGTCGCATTCTTATTAAAAAAAAATTTTTTTTTACTAGAGGGTGTATTCACTTGCCAGAGAGAGACAGAAAGACATAGGAAGGGGGAAAACACACCAGAGAATGGTTACATTACAACCCCTTCTCCATCTCTCTCTCTCCTTCAGGATTCTGAGCACACATACATATACATCCAGTGAGTTTCTCAAGGCACAAGGCCTAGGACTTCAATTGTGCAGGTTGGCATGTGGGGACAGTTGCCTTAACTTCCAGGCCATGGAGCCAGCCCATATCATTCTTTTGACATACTTTCTTAAAGCATTTAAAATTCAAAAGTCATCCTTATCTCATTGACTGTGTCAAACAGAAATTGGGCCAGATTTGGCTATATTTACAATTTCTGATTTAATCATCACTCCTTGAAAGAAATCTGTTAATTTTTTCCTCTGGCTGCCTTTTTTTGTTTTTAAGAGAGATTTTTCGCCATAGGGTACATATATGCACTCCAGAGAGAAAGAAAGAAAGAAATCACCCCCTGAGGGAATGGCTACACCACAATCCCTTCTTCACCATTCTCCTCTTGGGATACTGGGAGTGCATGCACATGTGCCTAGCATGAATTTTAAGATGCCAGGTCTGGGACTTTCCATCAGGATGGAAAAATGGAGAAGAGGTAATTGTAACATGACAGCATCCCATTGTGGGTGCTCCATCGCTCAACTTACAACCACCCACCTCTCTGGCAGTAGTTTTTTTTTTTTTTCTTTCCCTTAAATTTATTATTTTTTTACATTAATTCAGTATACATCATTACAGCATACAAAATGAATTTTCCATCCAAAATACACTGTATATTGGCTCAATCAAGCACATTGACATACATGTTATCAATGAATAATTTTCCATTTCTTATGTCTTGTATATTTTGCCTTTTTTTTTTTGGCCATCCTTGATTCCCTATCCCTTACCCTCTGCCCTGTCCAACCCTCCTCCCACATTGTCTCTGGTATCCATGGTTGCTTTCTATGCCTTCCCCCCATTTAATTGATTTGCTAATGAACTAAATTTGTCTAAATATTTGTAAGAGCAAGCGCAGCTGATATATAGACATACATGAACCCAAGTCTGATGTTAGGCATAAACCTCAGTGAGTAGAATGAACATACTATAAAGTAGTACCTAACTGGGGCTATATAGCTTACTGCAGTCATCATATATGCATTTTTTTATTTTGATAACAGTTTTAGTGTTTTGTTTTGTTTTGTTTTTTTTCTCCTGAATTTATTTTTTTAATTAATTTACATTCATTCCCTGAGCATCATCACAACATAACTAAATGTGGTTTCCCATCTAGGATAAACTGCGTAGTGGCTTAATCATGCATGTTATCATCAATAATATTCCATTTCTACTTTCATATATAT